CTGTAACCTTACAAGAAGCATTTGGACACCGCCGAGCCCTAAGGCCATCCTGCTGTTCACTATCTACATTTAATGCCAGGTCCATCTTTCTATCATTAATATCTTTGTTTTCTTTATTTCAGGTTACTGTGATGGCAAATCAGAAAGAAACATTTTGTAGCAACACGGAGGGTGTCAAGGTTCATTAGGAGACTTCCCATTAACTCACTCAGCCTTCGACTTTATCTTAGGAGTTTAGTTTGCCCAGCTCCCCTCCCCTCCCCTCCCCTCCCCTCCGTAAACATAAAACCTTTACTACACGTAAAAATATATATGGGGAAAAGTGAATCTGTTTGCACTCAAATGTCTTCCCTGGAGTTTTCTAAGGAATCATTAGAGGCTTAGGATTCCAGATTTTGATTTATTAAAATATGTACGGTTACCCCTTTCCTATGATTTGGGTTTTCATTTGTGTTCGCGTCTGTGTCGAAGTGAGAAGCCCTGCAGGTGGCTGGGTAGGCTGCACTTTTATCTTGCCTCCTGGCTCTTGCGACCTTTGCCCTGTTCTAGTGCCTAATCTCCACTATTAACGACTGCCTCTTCTCCCAACTTCCTGAAAAAGGGGTTTCCCCATTAACCCAGGAAGGCCTTAGCTACTGAGGCCAAAAGAGGAGGCGAGTGTAGGCCAGGCCGGTGAGCCCCAGGCCTCAGTCAGCCCCAGGCCCCTGAGATGGGCGGGACGCAGGCTCACCCACCTGGCCTGAGAGGCTACGATGCATGGTCTAGGCAAGCTCTACAAAGCACCGCCAGCCCTTCATGGTCTCCAGCACCTTACTCACTTCTTATTTCAGGGGCGAGCAGAAGGTTGAGGGAGAGGAGGCCACAGGCTTCCCTGGGGGAAACAGGAGATGGGACCCGGGAAGCCAGGCCTGGTGGAAGACCATGGCGCCCCCACCTGGAGTATGTAGGCAAGGGGGCGACAGAGTGGGAAGTAGCTGGCTTGGGGCAGAACATCGTGTCCCACACCAGTAGCAGCACTTATGAACACTAATTAGAACTGTACACAAAGCCACGTGCCTCAGTTTCCCAGGAGCCCGTAAGAGCCTCAGTTTCTCATCTTGAAAAGGCATCAAGGCTTTGGTACCAGAGTCTTGGTTCCATGTCAAAATCAAGCCCATTTGTAATTAGCTGTATAATCTGGGGCTGAGCCTCACAATTCTCTTGTGAAATATGGGGAAACAGTGTCTGCCTGATGGGCTGCAGGGAGGGCTCAGTTAGCAGAGTTAGGAGCCATGCAAACACTGGCGAGGCCCGGCTGACATCTCTGAGTCCTGTCAGGAGGCAGGGAAGGGCGCCCCGCTCCTGGGTGTGCGGAGAGCTCTGCCTGGGTGCTGGCCTATCTAGGGGCTGTGGAGGCTCCCGGGTCCCCCACCTCAACGTGCGTCATCCACTCACCAACAAGGGAGGAGGCAGGGGACCACATACAAGAAAGCTCTGCCCGTGATTCACACGGAACAGGGGCTGTCAGAGCCAGGCTCTTCAGCTGTGAATGTCACCCCAGAGACCCATAAGATAGCACATGTCACTTCAAAAGATAGCTTTAATTTACCAAATTTATTAACTAAATAAGTACAAAAGATCCCTGTCCTCTTGTCCTCAAGCTTGTGATAAGTCTTACTTCAGAAGCAAACTGCTCGAGAAAGTCCGTGAGCAATGCCTCTTATTTACTTGGTGACAAAGATTTGTCACACACCTACTTTTTGCCAGGCCCTGAGCTACTGCACATTCCAGCCATTGGCCCGACCTCTAAATGCTGGCATGTCCCTGGGTTCTCTCTGGCTCTGGTTTCTTCTCTCACTGTCTTCTCCCCTGGGGATATTTCATAAAACCATGGATCTGCAAACACTATCTGATGACTCCCAGCACTGTATCTTTAGTCCACACCCCACATCCCTGCATCCAGCTGCCTCCTCTCCACTGGAATCTCACTGGGACTTCAAATGTCTATGCCCCCAATGAAACTCTTGGCTCTTCCACTTCTCACTCTTCTGGTCTTCCCCATTTTTGTTGCCTGCCCTACTGTCTAACCACCGTCAGGAGTCACCCTTGAATCTTCTCTTTCCCTCATGTTCTTCATCCTGTCCAACAATAAATTACGTTTGCTCTGCCTTTCCAAAGTATGTCCCAAGATCATTTCTCACAACCCTCATTGATGCCACCCACCTCCGGCTTCCCCATCTTTTATATCTACTTCAGCAGCCACCTAACTTGTCTTCATCTTTATTCTTGCTCCTCAAAGTTCATTTCCTGCACAGCTGCCTGAGTAATATTTAAAAACATACAGCAGGTCACATCAGTCTCCAAATGCATATCTCCAGTGGCTGCCCACTGAACACAGAATAAACTTCTATGTTGGTTTCCCACACCATGGGAAATCCAGCCCTGGAACTTCCCTGGTCTCAACTGATGGGCTCCAGCAGAGCATCCTTCTGTCTTGGCATCAAGGACAGTGCTTGGCATAGAGGAGGCTCAGTCAATAGTTCACTTTGTCGGAAGGCAGCCAAGATGGCGGAGCAGAAGGAGGTGGAGCTCACCTCCTCTCATGGACACACCAAGATCACAACTAATTGCAGAACAACCATCAGTTAAAAAGACTGGAACCTACTAGAACAGATCTTCCACAACTAAAGACATAAAAAAGAAGCCACAATGAGATGGGTAGGAGGGTCAGACTCGCTATGTAATCAAAGCCCATACCCCCCAGGTGGGAAACCCACAAACTAGAGAATTGCAGTTCTCCCACTGAAGAGAGAGTTCTGAGCCCCACATCAGACTGCCCAGTCTGGGGGTCCGGCACCAGGAAGAGAAGCCCCTAGAGTATTTGGCTTTGAAGGCCAGTGGGGCTTAATTGCAGGAGCGCCACAGGACTGGGGAAATAGAGATTTCACTCTTAAAGGACGCACACAAACTCTCACACTCATTGGGACCAAGAGCAAAAGCAGTAATTTCATAGGAGCCTGGGCAGCCTTACCTGCTGGTCTTGGAGGGTCTCCTGGGGAGGCAGGGGGGTGGTGGTGCAGCTGTGGCTCGCCCTGGGGACACACTTTACTGAACACAAGTTCATGTGCCTATCGCACAGTGAGGCCAAACAAACCGAAACATCGGAGTTTGGAGCAGAGAGAGGTTTATCGCAGGGCCGAGCAAGGAGAACGAGAGGCTCGTGCCCAAAACCCTGAAGACCCTGAAGGGTTTCAGCTGAGTTGTTTTTTTTCCTTAAGACCGGCTGAGGGAGGGGCGGCCCAGGGTTTGTGATCAGCTGTGCATGATTCTCTGATTGGTTGATGGTGCTCAATCAGGCGCCAGAAGGTCTGGGCGCTACGTGCTCATGATCATCAAGTAGTTAAATTCTTCCAGTGAAAGACTAAGGAAAGACGCATGAGATACTATTATCCGGGTACTTCAGAGAGGAGCTACAGCAGAGGATATGGGGGAGAGGTCTACCCCAGAAGGCCCCATAGGGTCCTGCTCGGTTACACATAGACATGGTGGCAGACAGATTGGGGAGTACTCATCTGCACAAATTCTCCTTCCTGGAGGCTGACATCCTGCTTGGGTTATTAGCACCAAGACCTGGCCCCACCCAGTAGGCTATAGGTTCACAGAGCTGGGATGCCTCAGGTCGAACAACTAACTAGGTGGGGACACATCACCACCCATCAGCAAACAGACTGCCTAAAGACTTCCTGAGACCATAGCCACCTCTAGACATATCCCCAGATACAGCCCTGCCCTCCACAGGGTCAGGACCCGGCTCCACTCACTAGTGGGCAGGCACCAGAAGCAAGAAAACTATGATCCCACAGCCTGCAGAACAAGTCTGCAAACTCAGGCCGGACCCTACCCTGGGACCAGCTGGCCCCTGGCTTTTGGGTGATGAGAGGGGATTGCACTGCTGGGACACAGAGTGGCCCTATGGAGGGCCACTTCTCCAAGGTCAAGAAACGTAACTAAAAGCTACCACCTACATAAAAATCCAAATAGAAATTTAGACCAAATGAGGTGGCAGAGGAATATGTTCCAGACAAAAGAACAAGATAAAAATCCCAGAAGAAGGGCTGAGTGATGTGAAGATAGGCAATCTACCTGAGAAAGAGTTCAGAGTAATGATCATAAAGATGAAGAAAGAACTCGGGAGGAGAATGCATGCACAGAGCGAGAAGTTAGAAGTCCTTAACAGAGAGTTACAAAATATAAAGAACAACCAAACAGAGTTGAAGAATACAATAACTGAAAGGAAAAACAGTTCACTTCGTTTCCACCAGTCTTCTTTCTGTCCCACAAGTACGCCAGCCTCTTTATTCCAGCCACAGCATCCACTCCATCTGCAAAGTCCCATTGCCCTGAGTTCACACAGCTGGCTCTTTCTCATGGTTTACCTTTCAGCCCAAACATCATGCTCTGAAAGGTCATCCCAGACCTCTCAACACCCCACCTACATTGCCATCACTGTCCTATTTTCTTCACAATGTTAACTCACTCGGTAATACTGTACTATCTCCTGACTTGTGTTTGGTGTTTCTCTGCTCCCATCTAGAAGGGAAATGAGTTCCATGAGGGCAGGGTCACAGCTGTCCGGTTCACTGCTGCTTTCCCAGCACCAAGAGCACCAGCCACAGCACGCGTTTAAGAGGCATCTGACAAGTGGGTCAATGACAGGACTCTCTCGTGTTCTCACTTTCAAATGTTTCGAATCATCCTGTCTCCTCTCTGATTTCATGACAAGGCTTCCCCTGAAGGGGTCCATGGCATTTCTTTATAAATGAAAAATAAAGTCACCTTGAAGTGTTCCTTGGAAATTCTTCATGCACTCTTGACATTAATGAATGATCCTGCGGCCTTGCAAGTCTAGGGTGGGGAGCTAGAGGGGCCATGAGGCTTCAGAGGAGAAATCTGGGTCCTGGATCTGTTCCAAGACTCACTTCAGAAACCAGTAAGGTATGGCTTTTACGTAGGAGATGAGATTGCTGAACAGTTATAAATAAAAATTTATTAAATTCAATCCTATTACTAATACACTGAAAAAGTTCATATTGGAAAGAATCCCCAGCAAATCCTTTTACGAAGGATAAAATTGTAATTCTGAATGATCACCCCTTAATTTACTGGCGCTGTAAATAAGTATTTGCATAGGTTACATTTTCTTAAAGCAGGTACACTGGTGCAATGGTCCGGAAATTAACTCCCTTTGAAAACACACCACGACTTGCCAGAGAGCGACAAATACATGTCTATAGAGAAACAGTAACTAGCTGGAAATAACGGACAGATCATTTCTTCTGACAGACGTGTCTGTAAACATGGCTCCCTTTTCTGGGAAGAAGCAGCAGTGGAAAATTTTCCTCCATTCGTTCCTGAACAGTGACAAGTTGTAGAGAATGGGGTTGACGGCTGAGTTGGCGAACGTGAAGGCCATCACCCAGAAGAAGAGGGACGGCCAGATGACCAGGTTCTGCTGGAAGTTCTGGATGAGGATGAGGAGGATGGTGATGATGATGGGGCTCCACATGATGAAGAAGGAGATCATGAGCAGGAAGAGGGTGCGGAAGAGCCGGAAGTCCTGCTGCGACACGCGGATCTGGTGGCTCTCCGAGTACGCCAGGCTCATCGTCAGCCTCTTCCTGGATGCCTTCGTGATCTGCAGGAACACAAGACAGAGCCGGAGCCACAGTTTACAGCGGGATGTCATGGGGTTGGATCTAGGTGAAGCCGAGAGGGTTTAGCCAAAGTACTTTGAGAATAGGAGCCTTGGAAGTGTTCACTTCAGAGAGCAAGGGTCCCACAGAATGTGAGTCTGTGAGAGAGAAGGTGGGGCTGCCATTTAAGTGCATCTCCAGGGCGCAGGGCGCAGGGCAGAGGGTCTGCTGGGAGAGTCTGACCTCCCCAGAGGTTCTAAGGAGCCGCAGGCTCAGCTCAGGCTGCCCTGGGGATACATGCAGTGTCCTGCACTAGCGCCTAATTTTAATTGTCCTCTAAGCACAGCCAGAGGCAGAAGGCCTGCTGTCCCGATCACTTGCTCAGCTTTCACGGTGCCAGGAGGGGAGGGTGTGGGCAGGGGCTGTGGGGGGTGGCAGGGGGGGGCAGACTGGTGCACAGTTAGTCCAGGAAGTGATGGGGCTGAGTACCTACTAGGCTGACGTGCTCTCTTCCAGCCTGTGACCTCTGTCCCAGGGAAGAGATCCAGTTCCAAATGTCCAGCCCCCTGCGTGGGGCTTGCTAACTCCCCTTGGCTTGGTCTGGCCCTGTGTCCTTCGGCTTTTCCTGCAGGAGCAAACTGCTGGCCACACCGTGGCTGGCGACTTCATGGCCAAAATTCTCCTCGTTAGCTCTGCCCTGGCCTTCCTAGAACCATTCCCCTAAGATTCTTGATATCCCCAGAGGGGAAGTAATTAGACTCATTCACAGTCTGGGCAAGTTTAACTCCAGGATCAGAATGCCTTAAAATATTCTTCTTAGAATACTTCTAACTAGCTAATGAAAGGATAGCCATTTAATTATCTTATGATTAAACATATTTGCTTCTGTGCAGTAGTTTTGATCGACCTCTTGGTGATGGAGACCAGGGAAACAGACGCTGAGTGAACAGGACCCCTTCCTCCCCACCTTCTTCCTAACAAGAACAAAAAGAATGGGGATCACCAAACTTTATGGGGGGGCTCCTGTGTTCCAGGCACAGTACTACACATTTGTTTTATAAATTGTCACATTTAACCTTCACAACGGCTCTTTGGATTTGTGCTATTGTTATCCTCCCTTCAGAGATGAGGACACTGAATCTCAGGAAATTTGCATAACTTGTAGAAGATCACTCCACCGATGATAAATGGCCAAAGCCCCCATCAGTGAAAACCCAGCTCAGTTGAGCAGAAGATTAGTGACATCATAAAAGGCTTCAACAGGATTGCCTTCCTCTTCATCTCTCCCCTGCACTGCCTGCTCTGCAGAGGGACGGTTGCTCTGGAGATCTGACCCCCCATCTCAGACACACACGCTAGAGGTCACATTGGCACAGCCAAGCTGGAAGGTGCTGTGTAGAATCAAAGTTAGAATGTGTGTTCAGGTGAAAGCTGAGATCTCGGATGATAGACCTGAGAGGGTAACAGCTGGCCAGCAGCAGATGGGTAGGCTACAGGGGAAATGGTGCCACTTCTGAGTAGCCTAAGTGCATCCTGGTGGGCATGATTCCAATAGCAGCCTCATCGCTTGGGCTGCCCACAGAGTCCTGGCAAAAAGGATGGAGTCCCTGGAAAAGTGTCTTTTAGATATTTTTTGAATAAACAATGTGGATGGCAGTTCATATTTATTGAGCACTTATTATATGCCAGGCTCTCTACATATCACTTGACTTATCTCTTTCAATTCTCCCAAGTGACATATGGTCTTTGATGATCCCCATTTTACAGAGGAGGAAACTGAGGCTCAAAGAGGTTAAGGAAATTTCCCAGCAGTACCTGGCTAAGCAGCTGCAGAGCTGGGCTTCAAACCTTGGCAGTGTGACTCCAGCCCATGCTCTTCATCGTGAACTAATTCCTTCCCACCCTCTAATGTCTCCATCAGAGGACATCCTTCTGCCCAGCCTGTAACGCCAAGTTCTAATGCCAGGAACTCCATCCTGCAGCGCTTGGTTTCAGGTGCTCACGTGGCACTTGCCACATAGAGTATGGGAGATGTTGAAGCATCACTCTTAAATTTTTTTGAGGGGTCCAGGGAAGCAATTAGGTTTGTTTGTTTGTTTGTTTATTTATTATTTTTTTAACGGATGTACTGGGGATCGAACCCAGGACCTCATACATGCTAAGCTCACATTCTACCACTGAGCTATACCCTCCCCTCTTGAAGCATCATCCTTTCCTCTGACTCCCACCAGATGGCAGCTCTCTGGGGAGCTGGGCAGCCCTGTGGCTTCTGTGGCCCAGGGCTCTGGCAAGTACCTGACAATGACTGTGAGCAGGCAAGGAACCGGACTGACTCATGGGCTAAGTGAATATGTGGTTGGCTCTTTTTTTTTAGCACTGACTGATGCTACCATTTTCCTCCATCTGCAGTTCCCACAATTCTCAGGGAGGTGAGAGGGAAAATGGGCTCATTATAATTAAACATCCCTTGCTCTCTCCCCCAGTTCAGATGATAGGACTAGTCGACTTTTGTCCAGGGTTTAAAATGTCTCTGCCGCTGGCTGAATGCTTGATGTGCTTTTAGATCAAATTAAATGCTTGATTAACTTTTGAGGATGAATTTTAATCCTTCAAAGAAGCCTGTGGGGTCAGATCTATTGTTCTGGGGATGAGAGAGGGGGGCTCTGAGAGGTGAAGTGACTTGCTCAAGGTCTCACAGTCAAGTGGGGGAAGTGGACCACAGGGAGGACACTCTTCATTGCCGAGCACACCACTGCTGCTGCGGGGACAGAAGACAGTGCTTCCCAGAATGTGGGCCACAGCCACTCACATCAGGGTCACTGGCTCTCAATAAAATACAAATGCTTGGGCCCACCTTCAGATACTCTGATTCTGAGGGTCCCAGTGGGCCCAGAAATCTTCACTTTCCATAAACTCAAACATACTCAAATCTCAATAATTCAAGAATGAGAACTACTCATCCAGGACAATGCGTTTGGAGCTTTGCCCTCAGTCCTTTAAAGAGTCACTTTTAAACTGAGACTCACTGCCACATGAGCATCTGAAGGCTATGAGTGAGGCTTTGCTCCACCTCAAACCCCTCTTCCACCCCAGTCACCAGACCACGGCTGCAGATGGGTGGTGGGTAATGGGAGAGGCCACTCTCACTGACCCGGCTTGGCTGGGGCCTCTGGGGGTGGGTCTCCTCTGGGGCCTGCGTGGTCAATCCACAACCCCCTGATTGGAATCATCAGATAATAGACTCCATCCTTCCAGAGGGTGCACCTCCCTTCCATCACCAACAAGCAGGCCCCAAAGCTAAGGAATGAGGGCCAGGTGTGGAAAAAGGAAAAGTTTTGTGTTCACCTCCTAACATCTTCACGTTTAGCTGAAAGGGATTTCATTTCTTGGTGAAACCCTGAGAGACATTGACGGTTTTCCAGCTTCAGGCCACATACTCACTCTCTCATTGAACAAATATTTATTGAGCCCCTATTACGTGCCCAGCACTCTTACAGGTGCTAGATGCACAACAGGAAACAAAGGAGCCCTGCCTGCCCTGAACTTCCGTTCTAATGTGTATGTGGGGGAGCGGGAGGGGGGACCAAGAAACCTACAAGCTGTTGCAAAGCAAAGTGTGGAAGCGTCTCATCTCACCATGGTGTTGGTTGCTGGGTGACAATGTAAACCAAGCCCCACCAGCAAGTGTGGACAGCCTGATCAAAGGCACTAGGGAGTGGCCTGGAGACTATTACCCTGGGAAACCGTTGATTGGAAAAAGTCACTGGAGATACACAGTACACCTGAGTCATGAGGACAGCGGAAGCAGGAGAGGCAGAGGGTGGAAAAGGTCATTGCCCTGAGCAACTGAAGTGGCCCCCGGAAGGGAAGAGCCCCGATGAAACCTGCTCTCCATGCTTACCCAGAGCAGAACCAGCAACCAGGGTGGGGACTTGAGAGCAGCGGTTCCCAAAGAAGAGTCCTGGGAACACCAGCCCCAAGCAACGCTCTGTGGGGCAAAGGGGATCTGCAGTCAGATTTAGCAACGCTGCCTACTCTATTCCGGAGTTGAAGATTCTCAAAGTACTTTAGCATAATAAAGGCTCTGAGAAGGTCTGCAGCAAAGAAACCCATTAAACGTTGATTAACCCAGCATTTCCCAAACTCCTTTGATCATGGAACCCCTTCTAACATCTCAAGTCCCATGCAGTCCTAGAGAGCACGTTAGGGGAGACTCTGCTTGTGAGGAATAAAAGTCAGGGTGGTTTGAAAGAGGCACTTCTCAGGCCTAGAGATGGAAACTGAGTTAGAGGCAGTAGCAATAGGTGAGGAGTGGAGCTGGTGGGAAAGGGGTGGGTGCTAGAGTTACCTGTCCAGGGGCTTCAAGTGATTTGCTAATTGTATCTCTAGGACTATAGCTAATTAACACTGATGATCCTTTGATTTTGCAGAGTTATGCTCTTGACAGAAAAAGCTCGGCAGAAAGTCAGAGTCAGTGTCTGAGTTATCAGGAGCTTCAGTGGGAGAGACTTAGGCTCTGGGACCTGCCCAGACTCTGCCTGACGGCTTTCCTGCTGCCCAGTTGCCCACGGGTGCAAAGTGAGGCCACATGTCCTAGTCCTCCTGGGGAATGGGCAGTAGTCAGCTTTGCCAGTGGGGTGAAAAGTAATTTTTTTTACATCTTATACTGGCATTAATGTTGTGATTTTTCAAAATCACACTAGACGTCTTTCATATGAAAGTCTACTGGTCTGTTCAAAACATTACCGTATCTGCACGCTCATTTTATTGTGTTAAACAAGACCCCGAGGCCCTTTTGGCTAGAGGAAACTCACGCGACTCGTTCAGTGACTTGCCTAAGGACACGCAGTAATAAAGCTTGGACTAGAATCCGGGTCTTATGACTCTTTGTCCAGTGGTTTTCCCAAAACCCCAAAGGAGAAGGAGCTGTTGGCCCTTTCCATGTGATCCAAGCTTGTGTCTTACTCCTTCAGTGAGTGTCTGTTGAGCACCGACAATGAATAAGCCAGGCTCTGTTCTAGGCATGTGGCTATGGCAGGAAACAAAACAAAGTCTCTGCCCTTGTGGAGGTTGCATTCTACTGGGCAAGACAGATGATAAGCAAGTAAATGCACACAAAGGGAATATGACATGGGTTGGAAGTGCTTTGAAGAGAAGTTGCAGTGAGGGACTGGAGAAAGATGAGGAGTCTTCCTGAAGAAGAGGCTTCTGAGCAGAGACCTAAATGAAGTGCCCATGCAGAAGTCTAGAGGACAGATCTGGGAGAAGAAATGACAGGTGCAGAGGTCCTGAGGCAGCAGTGCATTGGCATGTGTGAGGAATAGCCCCAAGGCCCACTGGACACGAAGGAGGTGGAGAAGAGGAAGTGAGGGGGCAGACAGGGCCCAGATGACATAGGGCCTTAAAGTGAAGGTTTTAGATTTTCCTCCATGTGTGAGGGAAGTGATGGTATCTAAATTATACCTTTGACTCACTACTCAGAGCACTGTTTCATCACTGTGAGTCATGATAGATACTCTGATTCATCCAGGAGCTGTCCTGGGGTCTGGGATGGGAAGAACTGAAGACCAGCCATGGGTTTCTATGCAGAGTAGCTGGAGCTGCAGTTAGAGGCAGGTGGATAAGGGGACACCTCCCCCAACTCATCAGGACTCAAGATCCCCTAGGATGTTTCCAGGCAGGCCCTGGCCTGAGGAAAAGATGGAGGGATTGGGAAAACTTTCCATAGAGTAAGTCAGTCCTCTCTCAGAAGGCAGCTGAGAAGGATCAGGCAAGAGTGAAAACGGGCAGATCAAAGCCCTCAGCCTCCAAGGGACTCAGGAGTGGGACTCAGGAGCCCAACCAGATGTTGGATGCCACTGCCAGCTTCTAACCAGCCCTCCTCCGCACTGGACCCTTGTTCTTGCCATACTCCAAACCTGAGCCCTGCTGTTTATTCTCTCAAAAATCTCAGCTGGACCTTTTCCCTACATGCTCTGGGAGAATTAGAACAGCCTTGCCTAACAGATAACAACAGATATACTTTATTCATCCCCTGCTACAGGCAGGCACAACACTCACCATAGTTCCACCAGTAGTATCTCCTACGTGTCTCACAAAATTCTTAAACTGTTGGAGTTATGATCGTTATTTTGCAGATGAGGAAATGGAGGTTCAGAGAAGGTAAGTAACTTGCCAAAAGCCACACATCAAGTAAGTGGCAGATTCAGGACTGAATGCCATGTTACTAAAATAACACTTTCATGTCTCCGTGTCTGTCTTTCATAGCCTTTTGCTTGACTTTCTTTTCTCCCTATTCATTCTGTACATTTGTGTAGCATTTAACAGCTTCAAAGTCTCAGCATCACTCCTTCTTGTGTCTCAGGGTTTCACTGCATTGAGTAGCAGCACCATTGTCTGTCTCCCTCTTCCCTTTCCTGTGTTAAAGCTCCTTCTAGATAGAAAATGTGACCTGCTCACTTCTGACCACTCTCTACTCCCCTCCAACACTTCGCATAGAGCAGATCCTTAGCAAAAGTCTGAGGAATTCAAGTGTTAGGACTCTGGGGCCAGACTGCCTGGGTTTAAGTCCTGATAATGCTGCTTAAGAGCTGTGTGACTTTTCACAAGTTACTCAGCCTCTCTTGCCTGGGTTTCCTCATCTGTAATTCTGGCTAGAATTAATGAGTTAGTTCCTGACACATGGTAAATATCACATAAATATTTGTTAATTTTTTAAAAATTCATTCTACATTTCTCTTCCTTTCCCTCTCACTTCTTTTCTTTTAACGTAATGATAGTAACTAACACTTACATAGTATTTACATATGCCAGCCCCCCACCGCAAGCACCTGACAGACAAGCACTCAACTCTAGGCCTGAATCTGCCCCACACCCTTGAACAAGTCCAGGCAGGGAGTCACTTACAGGGGTCACAAGTCAATTGGTGGGGAATAACATGGGGGTCATCTCACACAGGACTGGGGATTACAAGACCAGGATGGAGGTTGGCCTGGCTTTGGGTCCTAAGCATCTGAGAAGGTGACAGATCCTCAGCTACAAAGAAAGGGCCATAAAAGTGGCCAGACAGGGAGCAGGACCTACAGGGCTCCACTTCAATATGCTTGTTTGCCAAATGACCCATTATATGCTATAAAACCAAGATTCAACAACTGTAAACCTCAGAGAGGTCTTGCAGTGAACCTTCTACAATGAGCACGAACACACATAGATGCCATGGGCCTGGGCCAGCGCTGCATATGCAGATGGGCTGCCTCAAGAGGTAAGAAACAGACCAACACTCAGGGGTGGGTATAGCTCAGTGGTAGAGCCTGTGCTTAGCATGTGCGAGGCCCAGGGTTCAATCCCCAGTCCCTGCATTAAATAAATAAACAGTCAAACCTAATCACCCCCCCCTCAAAATGAAACAGACTTACAAGTCTTTCTTACATTCCTGTACATATTCGCTTCAAAGGTAGAGATCATTTCCTGTTTCAGGGCACTTTTGAAAGGTACAGGAGGGGCATTCTGGGTGCTGCTTCTGGGAGTGTGGTCAGTTTTTGTGACCTGTGTGCATATGCTGGGTGTGCTTTCCTGTACTTATATTGTACTTCAATAAAAGTTTTTAAAAGTGTACCTTCTTTACCACCACGTTGCTGTTCGTGACGGGGAACAATGGACACAACCCAAAAGCCCATAAAATAAATTATATCACACCTGTATGATGGACGACCGTGAAGCCAATAAAAATAATGAGGCAGAGATACAGGAACTGATACAGAGAGATGTTGCGCTACAAGCTAATAGAAAAAAAGGAAGTAATAGAGCAGATAGTATTATCTCAAATCTGAAAACAAACATTGGGCTGAACCCTGGTAATAGCTGATATTTTTGTAGTTGACCATTTAGTTAGGTAGTTATTTTATATATATATATATATATATATATATATATATATATACACACACACATGTGTGTGTTTATATATACACATACACACATTGAATAGGAGTATGTATATATATGTAAATTTATAAGAAAAATAACTTGAAAAATGTACTTTAAGTTGTTAACAATGGGGGTAGATTAGATTTTTAGTATCTGTGTTACACATTTCTATGTCTTTAATTTTTTTTAATGAGTTTGTATCACTTTAGTGTTCAACAAAAATACTATTATTGTTCATTTCAAAAACAAACAATAATAATAACAATCACAAAGATACGACTTTAAGAAATGACTGAACTCTTGTTCCTTCGTGTTGCAGAGGGAGGGATCTGGGCAGTGAACCAGGATTGGACTGGTGTGAATTCTAATGTAACTTCTGACCTAGAAATGCTAAGATTCCACCTGAAATACCCCAAGCCCGAGTGAAGTTCAGCCATGGCTCTTGAAGCAAACTTACCTGTAAAATTTTGGAGTAGCTGATCACAATAAGTAGTCCCGGGACCAAAAAGTTCAAAGTCACAAATGACACATCCCAGGAGATTTCTCCGGCAATGCTGGGCCAAACCAGTGTGCAAATCAGAATCTCCTAGTCACGAGAGGGAAGAGAGGGTCATTTAAACGCTGGCTTCTTCCTTGGCCTTAAGCTCAGTCCCAGCTGGGAGCACTGTTACACTGCTGTGTTAATGCGGTTGTGTTATGCTGTTACACAACCAGTATCACAAGAAATCCCAGAATCCCTTTCACTGCCTACACAGCTCCCTTACAAATAATTTGCCTCTGACTCTCAGAATCACCATAATTATAATTCCATTCTCCAGGGGAGGCACACAGGCCACAGGTTCTCGGCTGGGAAGAGCTAGAGTCAGTTTCGGGGCGTGACTTCAAGACTCCAGGACTCCAGGTCCAGTGCTCTTGCTACATCCCTGGACTGAGCTGCAAATAGGTTTTGAGCTTTCTCTGCCAAGTCCTTCATGAAGAAAAATCTGACCCCTGAAAAGTTACATAGATTGGAAGTGACATGCTACACACAAGCATACAGAACCAGGAAGGAAGTTTCAGTGCAGTCACACTGTCTGCACACAGGGTCTACATTAAGGCATTAAGTATTCACATGGGGGATGTTCAAATGTCTGAAATGTGCCAAGCTGCATCAAGGTGGCCCTGGCTTACTCCGGGACAGTGGCTGGTGCCCAGACTCGGGAACTCTGTCCTCATGTGCCTCTCCTCCAGGTAAGCACACGACAGCACCAGAACAAAGATGCAGCCACAGCCATCAATTCAAGATGGAAAACCACTGAGATGGCGCAGAAGAGTGTGAAGGTTTGTGACCTTGCTGCTATCATGCTGTTGTGCTGAATCCAAATGTTTGACACTAACTACAAACCACGCAACCTGTTGGGACCTCACTAGATAGTCACTAAGAGTGGCTGCAACAATTTCTTCCAATGAGTAAATAGGTCAATGAAAAGAGATCTATCTATCCATCCTCCCAAACACAAATATCCTGTGCCTGCTTGACTATAGGACAAAACTATTTAGAAAACAAGAGCCCTAAGCACTTCTGGGCATGCAGGACAGATTTTTGAGAAGCACCTTTTGTGTAAAAAGACCACATCACTGATTTTTGGTGGGCAAGATATCTTAAACACTGCCCAGAAGAAGTATCATTTTCCATAGCATCATTCATTCATTCATTTGTCCATTTAACCAACATTTATTGAATGCTATACTAAGCAAAGGCAAAGAATATTTATCATTTCCCAACATGGATCATAATCGCATGGTCAAACTTAAAATACAATCAAATAGTCACTCAACTTCCTATTCAGTATAACAGAAAATAGTAATATCTGAAATTCACTGAGCATTTATTCTGTGCCAGGAAGCCCTTTACATACTTTATCTCATAGAGTGTTCACTGCAACCTTGTTGAAATGCATATTATTATTTTTCCCATTACACAGAGGAGAAAACTTAGGCTTAGAAACATCCTTCTAAAACACTAAAGATGTAGTCCTTTTTACTCAACTGCAAACAGCTGAGTGGTTACAAAGGCTCAAGAAAACTCTTAGACAACTGAAGCAGGGAAGGATGCTTTACCTATATTTGTACCTTGAAAGGGGGAATGAGAATGTTGCTTCCTTTTCCTGTTTTGTTTAGATGGCTCACAAATGCACTGGGCATTCTAAAAACTTGTTAGTCCATCCTCATCCCCCCCGTGCACACCTGATGGAAGAAAGTTGATTAGAGCTTTCCACATTTGGTGATTGGAAAGAAATCTGTCTATCAAGGATCGTCTGAATATTGGCAATGTGGTGATCACGGCTCTTTGGGAAATCCATGCAGGCTTTGTTTGTACTCAGACTTCTGCCCATCAGGGACCCCTCATTCCAGTACATTGGTGGGCAACATATATCGGCAGATATGTTGAAGCAGCCATCAGAAGAAAAAGATTCCAGCTCTGAGTGTGACTTGGTCTCTAATTCTTATACTTGTGATGGGAAAATGTACCGGGAGGGAGGCCAGAAAAGTAGATGACCCCAGGACCATTTCTTAAAGCCCCCAAGGGTCCACAACTCTTTCTAAAAACCTTCTCCAAACTCTAATTCAAAAAGACACATGCGCTCTAATGTTCCCAGCAGCACTATTTACAATAGTCAAGACATAGAACAACTTAAATGTCATCGGAGGATGACTGGGTAAAGAAGATGTGATATGTATATATATATCACTATCCATAGCATCATTCATATACATATAATATATATAATAAAATACTACTCAGCCACAAAAAAGAATAAAATAATGTCATTTGCAGCAACATGGATGGACCTAGAGATTATCATACTAAATGAAGTAAGTCAGACAGAGAGAGACAAATATCATATGATTAAGATATGCTTATCATATGATTTGCTTATTTACGATATCTTTAAAAAATGACACAAATGAACTTATTTACAAAACAGAAACAGACTCACAGGCATAGAAAACAAACCTACGGTTACCAAACGGGAAAGGCAGGGGAGGGATAAATTAGGAATTTGGGATTAGCAGATACAAGCTACTATAGACAAAATAGGTCCTACTATATAACAAAGGGAACTATATTCAATAGCGTGTAATAACCTATAATGAAAATGAATATATACATATGTGTATAACTGAATCACTATGCTGTACACCAGAAACTAACACGACAGTGTAAATCAACTATACTTCAATTAAAAACAAAAAAAGCTCCAAATGTCTACCCAACCCCCTCCAGGCTTAACAAGATTTTGCAGAAGAATGTGTAACAATAGAAGAAGGTATTCCCTCTGCATCTGAGGCAAAAATATAGATACTGAAATAATATGCCTGTATTAGTCCTGTATTGTTGAAGAAAATGTGTCAGTGTGACTGAACAGATATCTGCCCACACACCCCTCTACCACAGGGATAGGAAAAAGACTAGAAAGATACACTCCAGAGCATTCACAGCGTCTATTTCTAGATGGGACTCAAGGTATTTTTTTCCATTTGGCTTCTCTGAATTTTCTTAATTTTCTATAATGTGCCTATCTTACTTTTATAAGAGTGAAAAATGGCAGTAAAAATTAACTTTTAAGAGAAATGATGATCAAATATCAAACACAGATTACCATGAGAGCTTAGCAAACCTAATGGGCTATTTTTTCAACAAAGACAATGAACCCACCCTAGGAAGCCTTCCAAATTTCGTGACGCTAATGAAGGCGCTCTTTTACCATTTGATTTGTGGCTCTCACTCCAGGCAGGACTATGTAAGGAAGTAACAGAAGAGCTCTGGCCAGCACCCCCATATGTGAGCTAGGAGACAGTGTGGCCAGCTTGTGCAGACTAAATGACTAACCGCATGCTCTTTAGAAAGCTTTGTATGGTATCACTGGTTAAATGCAAGTTTATTCTCATTAAAATCTTTTTAAAAATTAAAAAGCAGGCACCAAGTCCACAGTCATAGATCTAACTTGGTGTTATAATTTTGTTTCTGTGGGAAAATCTATTTGACTTAAGTCATTTGGCTTCTAGGTATTCTCATGGGCTGTGACTTGTAGTTCAGGGGTGAGTCAAATTCGGAAGGTTGGTGCATGAGTGTTACAATATTCTCTGTACTGTTTCTGCACATTTGAAATGTTTCCTGATTTTAAAAGGGGAATTTGAAAACCAAAAGTGCTGGGCCTGCTTTGTTCCTAAGCTACAGAAACAGAGCTGGTGGAGCCCACGACAGACGCTTGTGACTCCAGTGATGGTGGCTGAGCCACTGTGAAGCCACAGTGAGGACCGGCAAGTCTCAATCCAGCCCTCAAGGAGGCATAGTGCAGTCAGGGATGGAGAGAAGCACCAGGAAACTTCAATACAGGGCAGCGAGCCAGAAGTGCCCAGAGAGCTATAGGTGATGGTGCCAGTGGAGTCACCAGGTAGCTGCACCCAGCAGGGGTCATGTCAGCGGTGCCTGGGAGGATGGGCTTCAGCCAGGGGAACGGGAGGCTGAGCTCAGTGTCCAGACCAGAAGGGATGTCAGTGGGAGGCCAGGTACAACAGTGTTAAGTATGGTTGAGGGTGACTTGTGCCCCCATCCCAATCTCCATCTCTCCGTAACAATCTCATCCACTTCCATGGCTCCTTTTTTCAGATGCTGCTGCAGTCTACTTTTTCCAGCTCTGTCTCCTCCTGAACCCCAGACTGTTCCTCCTCCCCTGAGGGCATCTCTACAGGATGCTTCACAGGCACTTCCAGCCTCCAGTGTCCCACCCCAAAAGATTCCACCACCTGAAATCACCGATTCTGGGCACGGAGCCACCATTCCCCAAGATACCAGAAACCTGAGTATTGGCTTTGTGCCTTCTTCTTCCTCCCTCTCCACTCAGAGGAAACTTCTGGATTCTGTCTGTTAAGCTATCCAACCACATATCTCATTCTCACTGACCCACCCCCTTGCAGACCAGGCCATCTCTCCCCTTGTAAGTCCAAATGCTCTAACAGGGTGTACCTGGCCCTTCTCCAGCTGGCTCCTGCCAGCCCTGTCAGTACCATCTCTTGCTGACATGTGGGCTACTTCTTCTTCCTGTCATGTCCCTCCAGTCCCCCACATCCCTGCCTGGCTAACTGCCTCTCATCTTCACACTCAGCTGTGATGTCAGCCATCTTTCCTAAGACTCCCTGTGAATGGGGAAATCTACCTGCAGGCGCTGCTCAGGGACTGATCCCTCTCCCCACCAGTTGACTCCTTCGCAGATGCCAACAAATTCCAGCTGTTTCCTATCAGCTTCTCTAATGATTCTTTCTGGAGTAACCCCAGGGACCCCTTTGTAAATAGTTCTTCCTGCCCCACTTCTTCAAACAAAATGGAAGACTTCCAAGGTAATTTTAAGGAACTGGGAATCCTTGCTATATATTGCCTCTCCTATCAGCTTCCCAGCAGAAAAGAAAGAACATATCCATGTAAGAGATAAACTTACTTTCCTATATCTTAAAGACTTTTATATAGTATACCATAATAAAGGTAAGCAAACTCAGTTGTCTTCTCAGACAGCCCACACTCAGTAGAGACATGACGGCATAATGGCCTGGTATGAAATCAGGGCAGGGCAGAGCAGTGGGCCCAAGCACTTTCCTCAAAGCATGAACTCATGGGAGAGGCACCAGGAGGAAAAGACGGATCCAGGCTAAATTCTGGTTCATCCTTTGCCTGTTGCGTGACTTCAGGCATCTTCTCCTTCAGAAAATAAACTTGAAAACATCTACTTGTGGGGTTACCATGGGGACTAAATTGTGGCAGGATCTGGGACCAGAATCTGCGTGATCAGTACACTTACTCCTTGAAGAGAACACTGTCTTCATCATGTGACTCGTGGTGGGGGCTGGAGGGAGAGGTGCTCAGTAAATGTTTGCAGAATAAATGGGCAGCACATTCTGGCCAGGGTGGACAGTCCTCCCCACTTGCCAATGAGGGTCACACCCCACCAGCGCCACAGCATACACAGGCAGGAATCCCATTGGAACAGGCTGAGCTGACCTGGCTGGGATGTCTAAGTTGCTAGGATGGGTCCAGCCTCCTAAAATGTCAGTTTTTTATTTTACAGCAGTCAGAAGAATCATATCATACTGTTTGAAAAGTGTTTAAAATATTTATAACCAAAGACAAGGAAACGAATCATAGCTGGCAATTCTTCAGCGTTTAATTGTGTATGTGCCAGGTGTTGGCACAGTTACTGAACCCTGGTCCTCACGATAATCCTTTAAGGTCAATATTATTATTGTGTGCATTTTGCAAACTCGGAAAGTGAGGTATAGGGAGATGCAAACCCTTGTCTTTGTTTTGCAGCTCCTAAATGGCAGAGATGGGATTCAAACTCAGAATATTTGACTCCTAATACCGAATTATCTAGCATTTTCTAGAATGTCTATCATTTCATCCTCCCTTCAGAGAAGTTTTAGAGAGTCTGGTCACCTTGGACCCCTGGGCACCCACTGCCCAAATGGACAAAGGTAATTATGTTCCTTTTGGGGATGTGGGGAGGTTCAGATAACCAGAAGGCTATGAGAGGCACGGCTTCCCTGGCCAGTGTGCCTTAAGGGGAGGGAGCCAGCACGTGCCTGGGTTTAGTTAGTTCTCTCTCTTTGGGCAGGAAAATGTCCCCCATCCAAAACATTCATATTTAGTGTCCAAGTAGGAGGGGGCAGGCAGAATCTACAGCCAGGAAGCTGGGAGTAGAGAACTGAGAAAACAAGCTTTTGCTAATTTTAAATGTGAGTCTCAGTTCAGTCTAGACCGGATCCTTCTCTGTCTCTCTCTTTTTTTTAAATGAGTCCCGGTTTGCGCATCTATAAAATAAGATATTTCCTACATGCTCAAGTCACAGCCCTTGAGGAACCAGGAGTTTTGTTTGTTGGCGTACTGGCAGGTGTATATATGTGTGTGTTGGGGGTTGGGGGGCAGATGGGGAAAAGACAGAAGACGGAGAGCTGGGAAGCACTGTCCTGGTTTTTCATTACAAGCTCCCTCGCCTCATATCTACTAATTTCAAGCAACGGGGTTCCTGCAGCCAGCTTGCCTAGCCCCCAAACTTCTGAGATGCTGGACAGACCCATTTTCTCCCAGGGGCTTTGGCCAAATCTCTCTCCAAAGCTCTTAAAATCAAGCAAGTGTTTCTGCATAAAACAAGAAGGGGGTCTTTGTGTGCAGCCCCAAGGAGGGTACCGAGGGAAGGCCACCCTAACACAGATCTCCATGGAAGCACCTTGCATACAACTCTGGTCATTCTGGAAGTGTTGTGCAGGTCTCCAACTACCCAGAGATGCCCTACCTGGTGTAAAACACAGAATGGCAAGGCTCTGAAGGTCTGCATCTGTGTGAAGGCCTTCCCACTCCAACAACCCCGTGTCCATGTCAGCAAGCAGTTGTAGTCTGGGCTTTTGGCTGGCAGGTAACAAGAGCCTCATTTTTTTAGTGTTGTTTGTTAGTTAAGTAGGAGTGTACCTAAAACAATTGTAAAAGGGGGGAGAGACAAAGATACACATCTGGAAACAAAAGATACCCTTAAGAGAAGTTGTATTTGATCTAATTTAATTCCCTGAATGTCATTTTTCTGTAAGAAAAAAATGGGAGGAAGGGGCTGAATCCTTTAAGTTAGGTGAACAATTCAGAAACAGTGAGAGAATAACTTAAAAAAAAAAAAAAGAAGAAGAAGACTGATGGCTGAATCCCAGCTCCCAGCTGATCCAATTAGCCTGGGGTGAGGTCTGGGCTTCTGCTTATTTTAGAAGCACCAAGTGATCCGTTGAGAGTTTAGGTCTATCTGCACTGAGGACAGGCCTGCCCACTAAGCCAGGGTCCTTGGTCTGCCCATGCCAATGGCGCCCCACCAGCTCAGCTAATACCAGCTTTCTTGGTCCCCACTTAAGGGAACCTGGCTATAGGCTTACATGTTCTTTGATCAAATACCACAGGCCTGACATGCTTTCTGCCTGTTAGTCATTCAAGGCCTTAAAACAAAAACAAACAAACACCTCACAATATATTCCACATAAGAAATAAACTATTAGAAAAGAGACTTCTAGTTTTGATTTGTGTTAAAAAGAGAAAGAAAAAAAAAAACCCACTGCCCACACAGGATGCAGACTTCACTCCCCAATAAAAGGCCTGTGTGTGAGAGACCCGTCTGGGAAACGCCCAAAGAAGCCCACCTCTGGTCCGTGCTCTGGAGGACACACGCAGGGTCCCCAGCCAGACTGTGTTGCCTCCCTAGCTGGGAGCCTTCTCCCCTTCCTCCCTACCCCCCAGCCCTTCTGGCCACTGCGCCGGCCTCTCTGGGAACTGTGATTTCTGCCGGGCTTGCTCGGGACGCCCCACACGCCCTTCTAGGGTCAGGGTTGAGCTTTCGTGTCCCTTGGCCCCCGGCGGGAAAACCAGCGCCCTCCGTAGGGAAAGAGGTGGGGCGGAGAACCCAGCCTCGGGGAGACCCCCGAGCGAGGGGACGCACAGACCTCTGTCTTTTCCTGGCCTTCCCCGCGAGGCGCACAGAACCTAACACCCAATGCCAACCAGGTCCGGTGTCCCGGGTGAACCTCTGCGCTCAAATCCCGCGGCGGCGCGGCAGGGCAGCGATGGAAACAGACCCGAGCCGGCGATTCTCGACCGCCGGACTGAAGCCGACTCGAGCCAATGTCAGGAACCCTCCTCCACAGAGTCTCTTTCAGATCATGGACCTCCGCTACGATCCTAATGACAACTCTGGGCGCGCTGCCCAGAACAAAGCTCAGGGGCTCAGCCTTTGGAATCCTGGGAATATTTCTGGGCCCCAGGAGGCTCTGAAGCCACTCTTTATCCAAAACTCCCAGGGTAAACTGCCGTGGTCTAGTCTAATCCTTCCGTCTTGCAGTTGGAAAAATTGAGGGTCCGGGAAGGGAAGTAACAACTCCCCCAAGAGGCAGCACTGGATCTGGAGTCTCGGTCTCAAAAGCCCTTAAACCACACGCATACGCACATGCCCGCGGGTTCTCAAAGCCGGACCCTTATCCAGCCCGTCCTGAATCTGCTGAGCACGATCTCAGCTCCTCCTCGCACTAAGGGAGAGATACCCTGAGCATGTTACTCTCTGTGTGCCTCAGCTTCCTCATCTGTAAATAGGTATGATAATAAGGGTACTGTAGCACCCGGCGAAAAAGCAGAATTCACTAATAATGCGATTAGTCACTCCGGCTCCCCAAAGTTCCTTCTGTCTGGCCGCGAAGCCCCAGTTTCCTCACTAACCTCTCAATAGCCAGCGCTTTACAGGCATTTTGGGGACTCCACTCACAAAGTTTTGGAGGGCGTTTTCGGAATTTACATCGTAGGGTCACAGTGAAATTTAAGAGATAAAACTTCACAGAACCGGGCACGGCGACGATTAAACGCAACAAATGGCGTATTATTGCTTCGTTGTTTTTGTTAATAATCATCCCAGGTCACTCTTTCTGTCGGATCCCGCCTGCCAGCCCTCCGCAGACACCTGCCCAGCGCGCACAGCCCGACGCTCACCTGGTCGGCGCCGGTGAACCGCTGAGGGACCACGCGGAAGAAGAGGCAGAGGGGCAGCGCGGCGAGCGCCGAGTAGCCCCAGATGAGCGCGAGCAACACCGCCCGCGCCCGCCGCCCTGGGCCCCGCACGCCGCGCTGCAGGCGGACGATGCACACCATGCGCTCCAGGCTGACGGCCGCCAGCGTAAGGATGGTGACGCTGCCGCTCAGGGTCATCACGTAGAAGAGCAGGTGGCAGGCGACCGGGCCCAGCAGCCAGGCTTCGGTCCAACGCACCGCCAGCACAGGAGGGATGGTGCTAGTGAAGAGCAAGTCCGCGCAGAAAAGGTTGAGCACCAGGCTGACGGTGGTGCCTCGGCGCCGCCGGCGCGCCACCAGCACCAAGGCGCTCACGTTGCCCAGCAGCGACACCGCAAAGATGAGTGCCAGCACCACGGTCTCCACGGCGCTCAGCACCAGCCGGTGGTCGCCCTTGACATCGGAGAAGAAAGCGAAGCGGGTGCGGTTGGCCCTCTCCAGGCTGCGCGCGGGCTCAGTGCCCGCCGTCTGCGCGCCCTCAGGGGACATGCCCGGCTCCCCACGGCCCCGCAGCCGTCTGCGAGTGCACTCATCTGGGAGGTGACTGAGCGCCTAGGCGGGGAAAGAGGAAGGGAGGCGGTTGCGACATCTCTCCTCTGGCCCCCTCCCACCTGAGCAGCGCCGGCGCTGGGCGTTTCGAGCTGAGCCTGGGGCGCGCGGGAACGAGGAAGTGCCTGCGACTCTGGCTGGAAACACCCGGGGTTGGGAGGGAGGCCGCAGCTCTGGCAGAGGCCTCACGCCCTCTGACCCATGTGGAGCACCCTCGGGGCCCAGAAACCCTACCTCTTGAACCCTCAGAAATCCTACAAGGCCTCCCCAGCCTCCTTCACCCTCCAGGGGCACCCGGTGTGCCAAGCCCTTAAATCCACTGATTTTGCTAAAACTGAACTTTGGAAATCGTTTTGGCCTGTGCTGTTCAGACTTCACCGAGAAGCCCTGTGGGCCTGAGGGTTAATCCCAAGGCACCTTGCAATGGGCCCAGATCTCTTTTTTTTGAGTGGGAAGGGTTGTTTGTTTTATCATCGCCTATTAACATGTAACTGGGTAGATTGGTTGGTTCATCTCTCTGCGTCCTAGTTTTTTCATCTATAAAGGGGATGATAATATCTCATCAGGTAATTGTGAGGATCATAAAAAGATTCACACTTGGCATGTAGTAATTGTCATGAAATGTCATCAGTTATTAATTATTGTAATTAAAATCCATGTAAATTTTTTATTCTGAGCAACAATGTAAAATGTATTCATGTAAAAAGAGTAGGCTCCCCAAAATCTTGAATAAAGTTGGTACCCCAGAAAGACACTCCAAGGTGCACACACAGGCTGTGAATGTGCCCTGGGTACCCCAATTTGAGAAGCACCAGACAATCCAATCCCCTTACAGATGAGGAAGCTGAGGTACAGCAAGAAGTGATTTGTCCAGAGTAGCCCCTGTAATAAAAGCCAGTCCCCTGCCCCACCCAGATATTTTCACTACACCCCTGTTGCCCAGTTTTCTGTTACAGTAAATTAGGTAGTTAGAAAATGAAAGTGTGCTTGTGGCCCTACACCCAGTGACCACTTCCCTGGCCAGACACCATCCTGCCACCCACACTCTCACCCTCCTCCCCTTTGCCATACTGCCAGGCACATTCTGTCTTGTAATTGTTTCTGTGTATTTACTAAGAAGTTGGTGCACCAGCCTGAAGTGCAGTGTGACTCAAGGCCAGGGATGCATTTGTATGTTTTCTTATCATTGTGGCATTCGGAGTCTGAGCTGACAATGTGACCTTCTGGCCTGAAGGGCAGGTTGCATGTCAGTGGGAGACCTTCAACTTGAACCTTGACTAAATTCAGGTAGTAAAAGAAAAGCAGTTTGCTTCCTGACACAGTTATAAAGGGCAAGAGACTGAAATAAAGGGAACTCAAGTGGGATATGATAACTGTCTAATTGGGGCCAGAGTATATTAGTTTTTGTGTGAGGGAAAGGAGAGCTGTGTGTGTGCATGCGTGTGTGTGTGTGTGTGTGTGTGTGAGCACACATGCACCATAGGGACAGGAAGAGGTTTCCCGAGTGGACGACCAGAGTGGGGTCTCTGGGCTAGAAAGCCTTCTCCATCACAAGTTCCCTCCAGAGTTCTCCTCATGGCAAAGTGGTGAGGGCAGAGGTTCCCAAACTTTCTCCTTTCACATCAACTTCATGGCACCCCTAGGCCAAAAGAAACACTAATAGTTCCATTTATTAAGCAGCTGGGTCCAAATGACCTAATGAGACTTTATGGCCTTATAACTTAGTAGTCATCTGAGAAAACAACAAACATGAATTGAAAAATAAAATTTTTGCTTCTTTCTCAAATAATGACTCCCTAATGGGCTGGATCTACCTATTGAGCTCTACAAAACTGGAAATCCATGGGACACTGCCGCTCTCATCTTCTGCTCCACATTGATCTTCTTGTAGCTGCTTTTCACCACAGTAACCCCCGAAAACCCAGTTTTGTAAATGGGTTTAATGTTGAAACTGCAAATGATCCAGAGCTAATAGTCCATGTGGCGTTCGATAGATGTTGAGTAGCCCTGTGTTTCCTAGGACCCCCAAGAACACAGGCTTGGACTATGGAAAACAGTATGGTGGTTCCTTTAAAAACTAAATATAGGGTTGCCATATGAGCCAGCAGTCACACTCCTGGGCATGTATCTGGAGAAAACTCTAATTCAAAAAGATACCTGCACCCCAATGTTCATAGCAGCACTATTTACAATAGTCAAGACATGAAAACAATGTAAATGTCCATCAACAGATGACTGGATAAAGAAAATGTGGTACATATATACACAATGGAATACTACTCAGCCATAAAAAGAATAAATTAATGCTGTTTGCAATAACATGGATGGACGTAGAGATTATCATGCTAAGTGAAGTAAGTCAAAGAAAGACAAATATCACATGATGTTGCTTATATGTGGAATCTAAAATATGACACAAATGAACTTATTTACACAACAGAAAGAGACTCACAGACATAGCAAACAAACTTATGGTTATCCAAGGGGAAAGAGGAGGGGGGAGAGAGAAATTAGGAGTTTGGGATTCACAGATACAAACTACTATATACAAAATACATAAACAACAATAGATAAAGGTCCTACTGTATAGCACAGGGAACTATA